AAAACCAAAAAAAAAAAAAGGGGGTTGGAGCCCGGGTGATGGGCCCATGGAGAGAGAGCCACCAGTCCCACACTCTGCTCGAATGTCACATTGCTTGCAGCTCCCAATCGTTCAATAACAGCAATGAAGTAAGTGCATCAGTCTTATATAATTAATCAATAAGTGTTCTAGAAGCTAAATTATTATAAAGCATGGTCCCTACTACTTCAAATGCTCTACATAGTGCACCACAAGATTATGGAAGGAACCTATGACTTGATGTGTCTTTTCTTTTCTCTAGCTATTTTTGTTTGGAATACAAATTTTGCTTTGTCTCCAATAAGTTGGGTTCAAAATGGGACAATGAGAAATGTTTTGAAAGATTTAAGGCACAAACAATTATGTTAAAAAGAAGAAGAAAAAGCTTAACTTGAGCTTTATGTATAACTATTTCAAGTCATGACCATGTGTATTTTGATGGGCTTTTTATAATTAAATAAAAAAAATAAAAATATTAAATAGTTCGATTTTGATAATTGGCAATGAATATAAAATTTTGTGTAGTGCTCCATGCAATCACATCTATACTATATTATTGGGAGGTTTGAGCCACATAAGATTTGCTTTTCCTGAAAAGGCCCTTCTCATTAGTATGTTGCATCAAAACTTCCTTCAGTTTCCCTCTCTTTAGCTTGTGTCATTATGTAAAAGGTGTGGTTTGTGTAGCATCGTGGCTGTAAATAATCAAAGTAAAGCACAACTTCAAATAGTAGAGAGAAATATGGTTTCAATACTGGAAATCTTTGTAATAGTCTTAAAATATATTTTTATCTTTGACTATAAATTTAAAGCTTCTAACATAGTGTAGATCAAATAGATCTATGAGAAATTGAAAATTGACGATCCAAAAATGCGTTACGCGATGCACTATTACGAGATGCACTATCTCCATAATTTGAAATCTATTTTTTATCTCATGTCCATGCATCTTGATGTCGAGATGATCAATTTGGGGATATTTGAGCATCAAAACAACTTTACTAGTAAAATTTTTCAGTGGGCTTTAATTTGATTGTTTAGAGAGCCTTGGTTCTATGTAAACTTTGTCCTTAATTAGTAAGTGTTCTAGAAGCTAAATGGTTATAAAGCATAGTCCCTACTACTTCAACTACTCCAATAGTGCACCACAAGATTATGAACACTCTTAGTAGTCCATCACAAGATTATGGAACCTACGACTTGAGGTGTCTTTTTGTTTTGTTTTTGTTTTAGCACTCCTTGGTATTTTTTTCAGAAGATTAAAATGAGACCCATATATTTAACTTGAAAGATATTCAACTTTTCATTAGTAATATTTGTGATTTCCATTTTTAAAGATATTCAAACTTTGTATTTGTCTTTAAGAAGATCAGAATTCAATCCTTTATTCTAAATTTCCAAGTAATTAGTTCTTATTAATAATTTATGATGGAAAGTCATTTGGTGTGCAAGGCCTGCGTATGCTATTATACAGGTCTTGACATCTACACCATCTAATGTAATTGGTACGATTGAATTTTGAGGTACAACTTGTACTTCACTTACATTAATGGGTCTTTTAAAATTAAATAAAAAAGATAAAAAGTTAAATAGTTCAATGCATTTTGATAAGGGTGCGGTTTCTATAAGGTTGCAACCTTAAACAATCTAATTAAGGTACAACTTAAAATTTTATCATAACATGCAATTTTGTTGCAAAAAGTTATTAGTGCAATTTTGTTGCAAAAAATTATTAGTACTATCTGAAAATCTATTTTCATACCTAATTAAAAAAATTTAATTTCAAAAACTAGTTAAAATTAAGTACATCTATAAATATATGAAAATCTTGAAAATGGACGGTCTAGATAAGGTGTTGCAAGATGCACTATTTTTGGAACTCATAAACCTTTTTTTTCATATTTATACATCTCGATATCGAGATGATCCATTAGAGTGTTTTTTCAACATTAAGACAACATTTCCGATAGATTTTTGAAGTGCATATGTGATTAAGGTTCAACCTTGTATAAACTTTTCCCTTTTGATAATTCCCAAAAGGGATATAAAATTTTCGTGTACTGCTCCATGCAGTCCATACTATATTATTAGGAGGTTTGAGCACATAAGATTTTTTCTCCTAAAAGGCCTTTCTCATCAATATGTTCTATCGAAACTTTCTTCAATCTCCCCTCCCATTTGCCCGTTTTTTGCTCAAACCTAGTGCCATTGAGTAAAAGAAAATTGTTTCATGCGGGCTGGACTGCATTTTTACAAATGCGGTTCAGAAAATATAAAGCATCCATCTTAAAGATGGATGCAAGTAGATTTTCATCTAAAAACAATAAATAGTAACGGTCTAAATGTTTTTTTACTAAAATTAATTCTAGCTTTTAAAATTTATTTATTTTTTCATATACATGATCTCCACGTTAAAGATTATACAAAAATTAAGTCTTAAAATCCATCTCAAAAATAGATTTATTAAGAGGGTTGCATTTCTACATATGCGGGCTTGACCGCATAGGGGTCCTTGAGTAAATAACCACTGTTTGCATTGGCCCCCCAACGTAGGCCTTCCTTCCTTTCCCCCTCTCTCCTTTATAATTGATTGGACTGGCAAGGTTTCCATTGCATACTCAATCTCTCTCTGTTGCAAGGCGTCCATACCATACCCAATCAATCTCTCTCCCTCATTGCACCAACAAATTAAGAAAAGGGAAATTCGAATAAATATATTTTTTGTTTTTTCTGGAATTTAAAATGCCTTCAATATTTTGTTTTTAATGTTTATGTCCTAAACATATGTAGTATCTTAATTTTGTCTAGTTTTCTCTATATTGGATTGATATCAAATTTTATTTAGTAATTTAATTTTATCTTTTTTCTATATATCGGATTGAGATCGAATTTTAAGCAGCCATACCTCTAAGCATCACACGTCTATAAAAAAAATAGGAAATATAATATAATGAAATAAAATAACCCAAATATCCATACAAATTTAAGAGCATATTGATCATTTTTGTCCTTTTCTTTGTTTAGAATTATAAATTTGGTAATTTTTTATGGACGCATAGTGACGAGAGCTACAAACACCCAAAATTTGTGCTTAGTCCAATGTATAAAAAGAGAATAAAGCCTACGCCTTACGACGTAAAGTAAAGCCTCACCTGAAATCCTTGTCTAGGAAGCAATTCAGCCATGTGAAACCCCTATAATAGCTCTAAAATCATTTTCCATCACCTATTATAAAAATTTTTAGCCCAAAAAATAGTATAGATCTTGTGGATCGATGAATACTTGAAAATAGATGGTCTAAATAATGTGCTACAATATACACTAATTTTAGGGTTTAAAATCCTTATACATCTATAATGGTCAATATCGAGATAATTGATTTGACGGATTTTCATCATTGGAGCTGCAGGTTTTGGTGAGATTCGAGATGCGACTTTGCCTTTTTAAATAAGCCCATGGCCTTATTTTAACCTTTTTTTATAAAGAATATCAAAATTAAAATACTACACACACTCTAAAAAAAAGGGATCTTTTACATATAGGAAAGTTTGTATAGAGCTTAGGCTCTAAACAATCAAATTAGAGCCTACCACAAAACTTTCACTAGAAGATGTTGTTTTGATACCCAAATATCATCAAATTGATCATCTCTACATCAAGATGCATAGAGAAAAAAATGGATTTCAAGTTTCATAAATAGTGCATCTTGTAACGTATTTTTGGACCAGCAATTTTCAATATTTTCAAGTTTTCATAGATCTGCTCAATCTATACTATTTTTAAAGCTTTAAATTTTACAACTAAAGATGAAAATATAGTTTAATCCTATCACAAAACTTTCCAGTATTAAAACCATATTTCTCGATACTATTTAAAGGTGGGCTCTAATTTGATCGTTGAGAGCCTCGGCTCTATACAAACCGCACCCTTTACATATCGAGGACAATATTCCTATTTCACAAAATATAAAGGCGAAAAGTATACAAAGAGACCATTTACTTTTAATACAAGAAGGTCAGTCATTTTTTAAATTTCAATTCGGGGGAGGTTGTTTGTGTCATAGATTAGATACAAAGTTCCAAATTTTTTTTTTAACATTATAAGGTGCTCCAAGAAGTCCAATTTGATATCTGATGGCTAGTAGTAGTTGTAACCTCTTTGCATTAAAAAAAAATGGACTCATAGTATACATCCCAACTAAAGGACATTTACATAAATTTCCCAATAAGAGAAAATCAAATGGTGGAGGTATCGTTTTATCTCCAATCCCAACAGAGAGAAACATGTAGGACACAGATACTTGTTCAACCCAGCAGACTTCTAGATGGTGGAGACCTACATGTGTTACACAGACACTACCTTAAAGCCTTTAAAAAAAAGAAGAAAAAAAAAAGAAAAAACAAGAAAAAAAGAAAAGAAACTGATGATTCTTTTACAAGGCTTTTTAAGCTTATCCTAGTATAGCCATATCAAAAGTTAATCAATTAAGTTATGAAAAGTTGAAAACATATCTCTGAAATACTTTTATTTCTTGTTACATGCCATCTATTTTATAATTTTCTGCCTTCTTTGATACCCATTGCCCTTTTCATATCCCCATTCTTGTAATGTGTGGCATGCCTGACATTTTGTTTATTTCCTCTGGAGAAAAGCATGCACTTTGTAGGATATTTCTTATCGATGGGTAGCGTTTTAAGGATCTTTTAAGTAGAAAAAAAAAGCAGAAAAGTAAAACTAACTTGAGAGGTCATGGGAGTTGGGGCCCAAAGTGTTGTAAATAAAGAGGTGCATTTCCATTAGCTCAATAATTAAAGTCAAAAGATAACATACAAGTAGAGAGATTCTTTCCAAACCAAAGCAGCAAATGAAACTGCACTGAAGAGTCATTCCACGAGCCATCTCATTCAAATCCCATGAGAGAGAGATGAATGAAAACAAAAAAAAAAAAAAAATGCAACCATAATTACTGTCTCTTTCTCCAATTTGCTGAACTATATTTTTTATTTTATCTTTTCTTATTTTCACTATCAAACTTCTTGCTCTCTCCCCTCCATACTCATCTAAACACATCATTCATCAAAACCCATCATTCTAATAGCAATTTACATAGAAAAAGAGGAAGCTTAGACAGAGAAAACCAGGCATACTACAAGCTCCAACTATAAGCAAGGAACTACATCTACCTAAAACATGACTTTCTCTCTCCCCAAACCTCAGACATTAGTACTGCACCTACCACCCTGCTGCACTCTGGCCGGCCCCGAAACCGAACCGGAAGGAAAAACCAGAACAGAATAACAATCGATATCAAGGTGATAATAGCCGGATATCCAGCTCCCAACTTTCCATCTCAGCCGCCCATCGAGCTTAACACTAAGAAGAAGCTTACCAGATGACTTATCCATGCCAAGGTTATAACTTAAGGCTGGAGCCATGGGCACCGATCGTCCCGAAAGCCATGAAGAGAGGACGTTGGTGTCGTCATGGCCTTGATAAAAGGCAGGAAGAGCCGCGTTCTCGGTGATCTGTTGCCCCTTATAGGAAGCAGAGGCCTTGAGATTATCATAGTAAACACCAACCCTTTGGTTTGGGTTCTTAGAGACAACAGTGACTTGGATGGTAGAGGTTAAGAGGTCAGGGGAAGAGATGTTTAGCTGATAGATAGAGATGTCTTGTACAGAGAATCTGGGCTTGGATGGCTTGAGTATGAGCCAGACTATGAAAATTATGGAGAGAAATGATAGAACAAGTGTACTCAAGATGACAACTAGCTTCTTGTATGGTTTTTCATGATGGATTCTATAGTTCTCACACTTCTTTACTGACATTATGGTGAAGATGGGTGGAGAGAGAGAAAGAGAGGAGTGTAGGACTAGAGATTGGGCAAGAGAGTGAATGAGTGTTGGTAGATATAAAGGGGGGAGAGAGAGAGATGGTGGGTGGATTGAATGGAGGAGAGAGAGAGAGTGCTGGGTTGATTGATTTAAACAGGGCAATTATTTTAGAGAGAGAGAGAGATTGTGGTGGGTGATTGATTTAAGGGAAAAGTTTATATAGAGCCAAGGCTCTAAACAATCAAATTCGAACCTATTTCAAAAATTTCACTAGATGATGTTTTTTTTATGTTTAAATATCTTCAAATTGATCATCTCAACATCAAGATGCATGGACATGAGAAAAAAAAATAGATTTCAAAGTTTGAAAATAGTGTTTTTGTAAGGCATTTTTGGACCATCAATTTTTAAGGTTTTTCAGTTTTCATAGATCTCTCAATCTACACTGTTTTTGAAGCTTTAAACTTTATAAATAAAGATGAAAATATATTTTAAGGTTATCAAAAAGATTTCCAGCATTGAAATTACATTTTTCGACATTATTTAAAAGTAGGCTCTTATTCGATTGTTTAGAGCCTAGGCTCTACACAAACCACACCCTTGATTTGAACAGTACAATCATTTTTTTATAGGAGAAGCTTTTGACTGGGAGGTGAGAGAAGGAGAGGGAATGAATGAGTGTGTCAGATACCAAGGGGTTCCCATGGAGCTTTAGGGGGGCAGGGTTTATACAAAGAGATACGGGGTATATCTTGGGATGTATGTGGGGCTTTTAAAATTATTGAGAGAGGTTAGAGAGAGAGAGAGAAGCAGTGATTTCTTCAGACCAGAGAGAGAGAGAGAGAGAGAAGGGATATGCGAGAGGCATAAACCATAATATGAAAAAGCTTGATTTCTTTTGCATTTATTTAATAAGGGTTCTTAAAGTCTTTCTAATTTCTAGCCACGTCCGTTTGTTTTATTTGGAAGAAGAAAGCGTTTTAATGTAGTGTATATTATAATATTGGAAAAAGTTTATATAAAGTTCACTTCAAAAATCTATCGGAATTTTTTTAAAAAATGTTAAAAAACCCTCTAATTGATCATCTCGACATCGAGATGTATAAATATAAAAAAAAAAAAAAAATTTTGAATCCTAAAAATAGTGCACCTTGCAACATATTATCTAGGTTGTCTATTTTCAAGTTTTTCATGTTTATATATATACTTGATTTTAACTATTTTTAAAGTTTAAAATTTTATAATTAAATGTGAAAATAGATTTTCAAGAAATCCTAAAATTGTTTTACTCCAAAATTACATGTTATGATAAAATTTGGATATACGCCTCAATTGGAGCGTTTAAAATTGCAACCTTATAGAAATCACACCCTTATATACTACTTTTATTTGGAAAAGAAAAAAGTTTTAATGGGTTTGTCTGAGCTCGACACTGGCTGCCTTATTCCATTCTATCTTCTTCCTTTTATTGCATTCCCCCTCACTCTTTCTTCTCATCTGTTATGCTCTTTTCTCTCATTTCTCATGCTGGGAAAGTACCCGGAAGTGGCCGATTTCTTAATGGCATTTTCATAGGAATTACAGAATGCCCTTAGGAAACTGCATTGCCTGACACATCCACAATACATTTACAATAGATGTTAGAGATTGTGATTGATTCCAAATTCTAAGATGCAATCTCCATCACTTATTATCAAGGGTTATGATAGGGTACTAATACATATGAGTTTTTGTTCAGGGTTTTAACAGCAAAATATAAAGTTTCTTATTTTATGGATTACAACATATTAAGTTTCCCATCTTGTGGATTACGAGATAGGATAGGGAAATGATCTAATGCAACGGTCGTAAAGTGGTATAATGCAAACATACCTCTAGAAAACTATATTTTTGACATTTGTATGATCCCAAATTTTACACACACATTCTCATTATCTTTATAATCAATCTTACAATTTTTTTTTTTGCAATTTGCACCTCTAGATATGGTCAAAATTAGCACCCATCCAACAATGAATCTCGACCACCCATTTGGTGAATTTCAAAATCCAGACCTTAACAAATTCAAAATTAATTTTTTATTTTTTAGCATTATTAATCTAATGATGATCACGCAATATAAAAATTTTGGCAACAAAAAAATCCTTCTAAAGCCTATATCTAACCATCTCAATAAAATGGAAGGCTTATATTAATTGGGCTAGAGTGAAAACTTTCTAGAGCATTTTTTTAAAATTTTCTTTTATGTGATTGTTCTTGAGAATGAAAAGAATGTACATTTAAAAATTTGTGTCAAACAAATGTCTCTAACAAAGTTTTTGAAGATGGTTGCATTATACTACTATACAACCATTGCATGAAATCATTCCCCATATAAGATATTGAGTTTCTTATACTGAGAGTTTCTTATTTTGTGCAATTACAATTATAATGAGATTTGTTTAATTTGCATGTATTTGGATACATGTCGAATATTCAGGTAAATGGGCACAACATGGATAAACTTTATATCTTGCCGCTATAACCTTCAACAATTTTTCATTAATGTGCTTAACATTTTTGGACACTCAATACCTTACCGCATCGTATAAAAACCGTTTTGTTTATGGATATTTTAGGTAATTATTCAAGCGCAGAGTACAAATTCATAATAAAAAAAAGAATATTTATTAGCTATAGTAGAAAATGACATCATCCACATAAGACGTAACATCACCAACATAAACTACCAAATGCCATTAATTTCTTATAGAAAATCAATTCTACATCTCTTAATGACAAAAAATACTTACTAAAAAAATATTATATTTCAAAATAAGGTTATATAAATATCCAAAATTTATTAAGTACAATTATAAGATGCTCTATAATAACAAAACCCTATCATCAATAGATAGTTGGTGTTTAAATGGACGCCAATAACTATATTTCTTAGCATACAAGAATATACATAAGGGCGTCACTCTTGATACCGAAAACAATGCTCCTTTGTTATATTTCGTCGAAGGGAGTGCGTCTCGATCTCATGCCTTTGCATTTATATCTGATGGCTGAAAAGCTCCTTACTGCGATCATGGGTTGGTAGTGGAATTTAAAGTAAAGTCACGGACACGGTTCGCCACGTCCAAATGGAGATAGAAAGAAGCATTCCTTTTCCAATGGAGATAGAAAGCAGCAATCCTTTTCCAAAGGACAATTATTTTCTCAGGTAGCAGCTTTCTACATGTAGGGGTGGCAATGGGTCACAAAATGCAGCCCGAGGGCTGGGCAACCATGACATGAGGGTAGGGCTGGCAGGGCCTGGACCAACGCCAGGGCGAGGCTTGGGCAAGGGCCTTTTTGCCCCGGTTATGACTGGGCCGGCAAGGGCTCGCGCTATGGGGCACCCCAATTTACAACAAACTTCATTTCTCTGCCTCCCTAACCCACTCTCTCTATCTCTCTCCCTAACAATTACATCAAAAATCGTTCTCTTTCATATAAGGAAGTAACCCTCAATCAAGTGTACCCTACACGATTTAAAAAAAGAAAAAGTTTATATAAAGCCGAGACTCTAAACAATCAAATTAGAATTAAAGCCCACATAAAAAAAATTCCACGAAGAGGTTGTTTGGATGATCAAATATTCTCAAATTGATCATTTCGACTTGAAAAAAAATGGATTTCAAGTTTTGGAAATAGTGAATCTTGTAACACATTTTTGGACCGTCAATTTTGAAGATTTTCAAGTTTTCATAGATATGCTCGATCTACACTATGTTTCAAGCTTTAAATTTTATCATTAAAGATGATAATATATTTTAAGGCTATCACAAAGATGTCTAGTAGTGAAACCACATTTCTCGACACTAATTGAAAGTGCACTATAATTTGATTGTTTAGAGCCTCGGCTCCATACAAACCGCACCCATTAAAAAAATGGCCCCCTTCTAAAAATATACCCAAAAGTAGCCTGCATTTCTCGCTCCTCAAAAGTAGTGCAAAAATTGCAATTGAGTTATTTTGATCTAACATAAGTGGCAAAAGTTGATTAGAAAGGATGAGATTTTTTGAAAAGTTGCAATACAATCAACGTAAGATCCTCAAACATCGTCATTAATACAAAAAAATGCAATCTTAGTATTCAAAATTTTTAAGATAGACCAAAAATTTATTCATCTCTAATTATAAAATTTTAACCTGAAAAAATGGTTCAAATCAAACAGATCTATAAACACATGAAAATCTTGAAAAAACAATCTAAATAATATGTTTCAATATGTACTATTTTTAAGACTTGAAATTTTTTTTTTCCCCAAATCCATACATCATGGATTTAGGTTATTCTACTGTAGACTACAGAAAATCTAAGCATAGCGCATCTAAAGACCACTTGGTGCTACCAAAGGGTTTCATTTTTTGTTCTTCTATGTGCAACTGATCTTGTTATATGGTCATCTCAATATGGGATCATATTTCATGCACATTTTCCCGTATATATTCATCATCACTACTCCACCATGATTGATGGACACTAACCCCAGTTAAGATCATTCTAGTTCATCCATCCTACATGCATAAATGGACGGTTAAGATCATTCTAGCTTACCCATGGTGTGCATGCACATTGAAAACACTGTACCTGTTAGAATTGTGTGCTTATCTCTTTCCATATTTTAAGTTCATGGCAATATCACTCATGGGTGGATGATCTTTGAGCACCAAGTCCACCTTCCTTTTCAAGCAATGGCGCGTATAGCATGCTCTGGCAGTAGCATACTGTGCGATAACTCCCTAAGGTAAAATAGTAATTCAGGGTACTTTCTTTTTTTGAGTCCAGTTTTGGGATCCATCCAACTATCACTCGATTAATAGTAAGGAAAATATTTCGATTTTCACTTCTTGAGCATCTAGATCTTTCCTTCCAAATATTGAATGGTTCGTGTGCAATCTTAGAATGTCATCTTTTGTTTTAAGATAAATAGAGAGTGAGAGTTAAATTTTTTTCCCTTTTGAGCTTGGTCCCCAGGTTTTATAGATTACATGCATCTAGAGAATATTGCTAGCATTAGATTTGCTCGAGGGAGTACATGGATAGTATACTCCTATAGGAGTAGGAAATGTTTTGGCTTTAAACAATACAAAACACTGCACTTTTCTTGACAAAATAAAAAGGGCATAGAAATTAAAGAAAGGCTAAAGGAGAAAGGAAACACGGGGAATCTCAAGCCAACTTTTTTTTAGAATGAAATCATTGTGCTCAAGTCCTGCATCAGAATCAAAAGGCAACGCTTTAGAAATGAGTTAAATATAAATGAATCTGTTTTTCTTAGGGTGTGGTTTCTATAAGGTTGCAACCTTAAACAATCCCATTAAGGCGTACCTCTAAATTTTATCACTCTAAATTTTATCATAATCTGAAATTTTGGTGTAAATGTTTTTTAGGATTATCTAAAATCTATTTTCATATTTGATTATAAAATTTTAAACTCCAAAAATAGTTAAAATCAAATGGATCTATAAACCTATAAAAATCTTGAAAATGGACGGTCTACATAATGTGTTGCACGATGCACTGTTTTTGGGACTCAAAATCTTTTTTTTTTCTCATATTCATACATCTCGATATCGAGATGATCAATTATAATGTTTTTCAACATTAAAACAACTTTTTTCGATGGATTTTTGAGATGCCTCTATGATTCTACATTTTAAGGTTGCAACCTTATATAAACTTTTTCCCTTTTTTTTTATAGAAGTTGGGGTTATCCTACTACTAACTTCACTAACTTCAGAAGAATACAAGTTATGTCAATAGTTAGTGCAGTCTCTAATGGGGGGACTCGAGATGATGGGCCTTTTGCTTTTGGACTTTTGAGCCCTGACATAAAAGCAGTTGAGATAGAGACAGTAGAATCTCACCACTGAGTACCAATTTAGGAGATATTTGTGTAGTTAAAATTGAGCTGAGATAGAGACAGTAGAATCTCACCATTGAGCACTAATTCAGGAGATACTTGTGTAGTTAAAATTGATAAAATAGAGTGCCACTTCAAGATTTTTGTCAAGCTGGCCAATTTGATTACCTGAAACCACAACAATTTTAAGCCAAAAGATATTCTATTCCTGCACGCATAGAATGTTAATTTACTCCCTCGGATAAAACCCCACCTATAATTAATTTTAGTACTCTCTAAATTTGGGGAATGGAACGTCTTCAACCCATAGATTACCTTCAATAAAAAAAAAAAATAATCCTAATTGTAAGTTCTATGTACTATGAAAACTCAAATTTCAAATTTTCTTTTAAAGAATATTCATCTAGTAATTCTTAAATGATTCCCAATTTTAGATTGAAAAAAATCCTCCTTTTGACCGAGGGAGAAGAAGTAAACTATGCTGCCGAGGGAGCATAATATACTGGCTCCGTTTTTAATAATGGATGCACAGGGTGAGCCAAAGCAGTCAGTACAATCCATGTCACATTCACCCACTGGTGGCTCTCTCTCTCTCAATGACCCACATGTGGCCACATTGATCTCTCATTGACCCACTGGTGACCAAATCTCTCTCGCTCATCTCTCTCCATGCATATTTTTGCGTGTATTAACATCAGTTTTCTAAAACCTCTTTTTTTTTTAAAAAAAATAATTATCTAATGTTTTTTTGTCTCCCCAAATCCCATTCCAATAAACCCCTATTTAATTTTTTTAGTTTTTAATATTTTCTAACTTGCCGATGCAGGTCAGCAATTTGATACAGATCTTCGAGGTGGACGATCCACCGCACTGATCTTGGTTTTAAAACACTGATCAGCACACAGATTACTTTTTAAAAAGGCACCGATCAAAATTCAAAATAAGAACGTGCTAGCCATTCTAACCACATCACCCTAAGCCGCCATAAGAGGACATCGCTACTTTATTCTCTCTCACTGCAATGAAAACAACTTAGCGGTTGCAACAGGCAAGGTCAAGGTTAGCCCAAACCCAACTTGACAATTTAGGGGCCAGGCCCAAGCTCAAGACAGGTTCAAAAAGTCAAGTCGAAACCCGGGCAAGAAGCACGCTGCAGAGCCCATGCCCGGCCCAGCCATTGGCCAAACATTAGCTCAGCGTCCAAGCCTAAGCCCGGCTATTTTTTATGCTCTGGTACTTGCAGATACAAGTGACAAATGGGCCAATGGTTAAAACAACCCCTCACTAATAAACCAGAAAAAAAAATTATAGTGAACCCTGGTGGAGATATGGTTAGGGCAGCCAGTCAGCCACCATACAGCTTGTCTGTAAAAGAAATTAGGCAATGCAATCTCTAATCTCCACCCATTACAAAGATTGGAGGATATCAAACTATGTTCATAATCAAACACAATTCGCTGGGAGGAAAAATTTAAGAACTATCAATCATGTTACAAGATACAGTCAAGAATTGTCACTTCTTCCTAACATCCTTTGATACACAAGCACACCAAATTTTTGTCAGGTTATTATCTCCCATCTTAACCAGAATAATTTCATTATCCAAGATGGATCTTAAGATTTATCACAAAAATCAGTTCATGCTCATCGGGTTCACATAACTTTCCAGGTCATTTGATAACAATGTTAGAATTCAATGTGCACTGCTAATATGATGAATATTTGTAAGAGTAATCCATCAATAGAGCTGCAGATTCATTCACAACGGCACCATGGTGGACAATATGGCCAACACTTACCTAAGGAACTCCCTAAGTTATATAAAGGCAAGAGTTTAGTGCTTCCTCCAATTGACTTGTCCCATCAAATCTTAGGTGCAGTTTGGATGCACATATAATCGGCCAATGGGGCCAGAGTTTATACATGCTGACATTTAGTGAGGCGTTTTGTTGCACATGAATAGGAACAGTGTTTCATTATATTTATGTAGGAAAACCCACTTATCCATGATGGAGGCTTTTTCTGAAAAGCAGTTGTGCTGTCATGGATAACCCACTTTGTGCAAGCGCGTATCCACTTGCACCAATAACCCAAAGGTAGAGAAATCCAGTTCACTTGGTCGCGTTTTGAAATTTGGAATTCATTATAATAGCTTAATCCCATTTATTAAGTAAATTATCTTCAGCATTTTTCTTTCTGGTAATTAAATGATTTTCAGTGCTTCCCTTATCGAAGTTGAAGAACTACGGGCATCATCCCTTAAGTTTTAACACAGAAGGAATTTATATCGTACATTTTGCTTTTGTGATATGATATTACATAATGAATTGCATACATCAAGTCAAACACAAAGTATAATTGACATAAAAACACGCAACATGAGGGGGAAAGGTAAGAGAATAACAGAAGAGCAAGTTAGAAGCTCATGAAAATAACCATAAGAACTGTGAAGCCTCAAAGTTAGCCTTTAAAAAAAAAAAATTTGATGCCCCAAGCAACTGGGACGAAAATGGGAAAGCAAAAAGGTTTCCCACAAAATCTCACCTAGGAATGCATTGAGGCATTCTGGTACAACCTAATGATGTTTAGGCCAATCATGCTCGGTTAACAATTGAGGATTCTAGGGAAAACTCACTCTTTAACTAATCAATTGGGATTTACCCAAAAAAAAAAAAACCCAATCAATTGGGGTAGTCACTTTGTCATCTTCAATACCTAGAGAGTGAATAGAGCCTGAAAACTATCCTAATCTCCAATAGCATCACTTAAAACCCCTCCAAATTAGTGGAAGTTTTGTCAAAATTAATCTTCAAGCAATAGACCGCAGGGTGTTCTTATCAAACAGATTTCACTATACACCACTATCTTCCACTCTAATTATGTCTCAAGACTTGTAGCTTTCGAAGTCATCCAAAGGTAAGGCCAATAGCCATAGAGACATCTAAATGCAATTGCTTTCATAGAGACATCTAAATGAAATTGCTTTCCCTTGAAGAAAGCCATCAACTTCTAGCGTCGGTGAAATGAAGCCAGCAACATGATGATTTTCTAGAAAAACTACACCCACTATCCTGGTGACTAAACAATCCTCTCAAAAGCCTTCCTTGCAGTTAAAAATAGACTTGAGATAGTACAACGTATATAGATCAGGGAAATAGTTGTTCTATATTATTGGTCCACACTCTTCCCCAACTCTTGAAACAATCACAGACTACTAGAATTAGTAAGCAGACAAGAAATTCCTCTTAACATCGAATATTCCAAATTGTACCCTCACAGTAGTACCCACAATCCCACACTAAACCTAATTATTCTCCTAATGAATGACCGCACAAAACAAAAACCCATCCATAAGACGCACAAATGGGTATGAGCGCACACACCTACCATATTTAGTCGTATAATCCTAGCCCACAACATATCTTCTACAACTACAAAACATGAACACCACACACTCAGTAAAGCATAATGAAAACGATCTTCAGAACCATCACAATTCTCAGCAGGCAGAGGTGATGGACCATCACACAACATATCAATCACTGACTATATTTCGACAACCCACTGTCCCGCAATCCTTCCCTTGGGATTCCTGAATGCGCTGCAACTTAATCACCCACATGCGTGCTATATCATAAAGGTCAGTGCTTGAAGCTGGCATAGAAGCTGGACACCATCACTATTGCCCTTCCAACTCAACACTAGTCTTTATCTAAGTCCCTTGCTCCTTCCAGTCACTCTATGCCACTTATCCACAAATTCCCACTTCTAAAGCATAAACTGCGTCTATTCAGCACCTCATCATTCATAATCTAAGTTTTCTTATGATGACCAAGCCAAATAAGAGTAAAGATTTCCGCTAAAGTTCAGATTTGAATTCATTTGGATACACCTTGTTCCTTCCAATCACTATATGCCACTTATCCACAAATTCCCACTTCTAAAGCATAAACTGCATCTGTTCAGCACCTCATCAGTCATAATCTAAGTTTTCTTATGATGACCAAGCCAAATAAGAGTAAAGATTGCCGCTAAAGTTCAGATTTGAATTCATTTGGGGACACTTGTTACAGGATAATTAATATGGCAAGTTAATCTCCAGGAAATCCAGGGTACCACTTCCAATTTTATTCTGCACCATAAAATCATAGTATTGCATACATGTTCAACACTTTGCATTATTGTCTTCCTAAAAATACAACTGACAATAACTAACTGCAAATATTGTGCGGATAAACTATACATAAAATTGGCAGCAGATGATCGAAGAGTGTATTCATTCTAACATAATTGAGGCAACTAAAAACTCGGCAGATATTTATCCATTGAGAGTGTTGCAGGAATATTTCTCAAAACCATAAAATAGAAATGTAGACATTAATAATTTAGAAAAAGTGCTTTTTTCCTTACCAATATGTTTCTTAGCAGTAAAAGAATTTCAGTAAAAAGCCTCCACTACCTTATGTTCTACAACTATCCTGTTTCCAATAGTTTATCATTACAATTCTGGTTTTCCAACCTAATTTTGTCCCCATCCAGGTTCAGGAGAAAAGTTTAGTCAAGGAACTAGAAGTAGGAATCATTTAGAAGAAGAATGATCTATTTCAAACTCCAACAATCAATGCAAAGAAACACACTAGAGGGATGGACAATCTGATGAAAATAATTTAAGAAAACTGGTAATAGAAAATATGAATGATTCTTATGCAAGTTAAACTGAAAAAGATTTGTAAACGGTGGAGAGAGAGAGAGAGAGAGAGAGAAAACCCAAAATAGAACTAAATGACCATCTCTAACAAACCAATATCAATAGAGAACCTGTTAAATGTCTGCAAGTATGTATGCTATGACGTGCTTCAAAGACTGTCGCCTTGAGATTGGCTGGCAGAGGCGCAAATAGATATGCCAGAAGGAAGCTTACAATTATCAAGTGTTGATTGCTTGGGGGCTGATAAAAGAATATTCTCTTCCTTCGGCATCTGCAGATGATGCAGCACTTTGCTCAGCAAGAATCTAGAAGAGATTGAAAGTATGCTTTGTTAAACCAAGGGTCTAAGGAATCCAATTCAATTCCACTAGTATTGCAAAACTAAGCAGGTCCATGAACAAATGAAGAAAGATAGAATTCTTTACTTTTATCATTGATAGCCTCAAGTACCATTAAATCGTTCTTACTTCTTAAGGAACCAGTTGACTGCCTTAGTTGTAGAAAAAATAAGAGGTGACAGCAGGTGACTTGTAATTGTGAGGGATGGTATCTGTAACAAGCCTGAAGATTTGACATTTTAATAACCAAGAAGAAATTTCCCCAGATAAAACATATGCAGGAGGGCACACGCACAAGTGCACAGGTGCACCGCATGCAGAATACAAAAAGAAACGCCTTGGACCTAAGCCCTATAACCTCCCATGATAATTGGAAATAGCCGTTTAATCCTAAATATGGTCAAAATAAGGGAAGAGGTAACTAAGGCTCAATGCAATGAAAATAGAAGAGATAGAAAGGAGTAACTCGAGCCAGGGCATACTCCTACATAATCTTCCGCAAAACCAATTGTACTAACTCGAATTCTCAACTGATTTGAAATTTTTGTTGAAAGTGCAATGACAATTCAGGGGCATAAATAGAATATATTATTTAATAAGGATGTGTGTGAGTTATTTATTTAAATAAGGCTATGCCAAGTAATTTTTACATGTCAATAGTATATGTGTGACTGACCCAACTCTAGGGGGATCACACTGCACGTTTTTATCTCATTCACTCTCCCCCAACTCTCTTCTACGTACATCTTCCTTCTTTCACTTCTATTCTTTTTCCTCTCTTTTATATTGATCTAACACTTGCAGATTAACCTATATCTAGGTGATACTTTCAACCTGGTATTAGAGCAATGTCCTGATCCAAAGAATTGAAGGTCAATAGCTGAAACCCTGGCCCGGACTGATTGGTGAAGTATGGCAAGGAGAAACTCTAACAGATCTCTTTTTCGAAGATCATAGTGAGAATCTAT